TGAGTGCCCCTTTAGCCACAGCGGCTGCCCCTGGGAGTTGAATAGGAGGCTCTCGCCCTCACGCTGGTAGGAGGGAGACACGTAGAAGTCGCTGCTGATGATGCGCTGCAGGTGGCTGTCCTGCCAGTGGAGGTCACAGCCCTCGATCGCCCGAGTGAACACGGTTCGTCTGGGCCTGGCCAGCGAGTCTGCAAAGAGAAAAAAAATGTCAGTGCCTTGGCAGGGTATAGGCAGCCTGTTCCTGCCCCCAGACACCACCTTCCTGGGCAGAGTGGTGTCTTTACGACGAGAGCAAAGCCAAAGCCCCGCTTGGTCCCACCCAGCTGTTTCTGCGCTGAGCACAGGGGCTCCAGCTCCAGCGCTGCAGCAGATTGCCTTCAGACACCTGCGCTGCCCCTCCGATCCCTGATGGAGACTGCCATCTCCCCAGACAGCATTGATAAGTAACTTGCTAGAACTGCTGCCTTGACCAGGGAGGTGAGAAAAGAGGCGGCAACTGCTCTGCCGTTAGCTTTCTGACGATAATCCACTGTCACACCCGGGGCTGACACCCTGAAATGCGCTGGTGCACTCCCAGTCCTGTGACACCAGTGTGTAGGCAGCTGCTGGGGGCCAGGACTGGCCGTCCTCAGCGTTCCTGCCCTGCCAGCACTAGGAGCTCTCCTCTTCCACTCCAACACACAGCCCCAGCTGCACTGAACCATGGCTGCTCAGATCAGCAGCACCTGAAGCCATCCATGAAGGGAACCGCAGGAGCGTGTCTCGTCTGCCTCCAGGCAATGGTGAGGAACCATCACCTTCCTCCAGCCTCCTCTGGCAGTGTGAGAGGGCTGGAAGGGAGGAGACAGCATCGTCTGAAACCCCACCGCTGCTCTGCAGCAGATGTCTGTGCTCCTCTTCAGAGCTGCTCTGGAACTTCACTGACATTTCTGAAGCTATCGGATGCTGGACAAGCATTTCACTGCCCGGACAGATCAGACAAGTGGTTTGTCAGGAGGAAAAGGCCTGGCCAGAGCCGCAAAACAGGGAGCCCCAAAGGGGACACACTGCTGAATGTCAGGTCCTGCAAACCGCAAGACAGGCCCAGTTAAAGGCATTCAAAGGGGAAAACCAAAAGGCACTGCTCAAAGATGCTCCAGGGAGGCTGGATAAACACACTCGAAACAACTGCAACAAGCAATTATCCTGAATGCTGCAGGCACCCCGAGGTGGAGAGAAATTAAACAGGTGTTCCTGTGCAGAGAACCCAGCCTGCTCGTTTTACTGGGAAGGATTTCAGGAATCAGCTGTTCTCCCTCAGTAATAAAAGAGGCTGGCAACAATCTGCATCAGTATTTGCATATGCATAAACATTAACCCCAGGACACCTCCAGGATCCGAGCTGCTTTCAGTCCCCTGCCTGGAAAGGCTGGAGCATGGGGACACGGGGACATCCCTGGCATGTGCTTCGGAATTCCCTGCACATCTAAACAAAGTGACCTGCTCAGCCCCCCAAATGCTGTAGCAAATCCTTAAGTGGAGCTGGGAACATGGGGGGTTCCCACGGCTGTCACAGGACATGGAGCAAGGTGAGGTTAAAAATAATCTGTGCCTCGAGGATGCACACAGGAACGGTGCTGGGGCATGTGGTCCTGGCTGAGGCGGGCTGGCAGGATTCCGCTGCTGGGGGACTAATCCCACCCAGAAGAGTGAAGTTTCATTTGCAGCACAGCTGCCATCCCCCTCTCCTTTTCCCTCTCTGGCCGCACGTAACACCCCAAAGACCAGTTCCAGCGCAGCAGATGGAGGCACGGTAAGAGCAGTAACTTTCAATTGATGTCTACATCAGGCAAAAGGAAGGGGGAAAAGTGTTTTAAGGGGATAAAACACTGTGTCAAGGGTTGAGAAAGTATTTCAGCATGAAGGAACAACCCCACAACTACATTGCTCCATTTGTGCTGTGCACTTGAACTGCGTTTATCATCCTTGGCTGATGACTTATCTGCTATTTGAATCAAAGCCCAGAAGCAAGATGCAAGGGCTGGAAGAGGGGCTCTGTACCACCCCCAACTCCTCACTCTCACATCACACCCAGGCCTTCTGAGCTCACCTACACTGATTCAAGGAGCACCATTTTTCTGTAAACTCTGTACCTAAACCTGCACAGACCATATGCGTCCAAACTCCCACGTGGTCAAATTGCTTTAAAAATGCCATTGAAAAATTTAAAATTTGCCTTTGAAAATTATTTGATGCTCAAAATACAGGTGACTTCACCCAAGATGTCACAAAGAGCCAAACATTTCCAGGTGTATCTAAAACCAAAGGCTGTAAAGAGAAATGTTTTTTATTCCCATGCCTCCTGGAGATGTCACCAGCAGGTGAATTGAGGTCTCCCCTCTTTGGGGTGAGTTTTGTCCCTGACTCAACCCCTGTGGCCACCAGCTGGATTCCACCCCCTACCGGGACTCACCTTGGCTGTGACCAGAGCTCTGTGTAAGCGCGTTGGTGATGTTGGGAAGCTCATTACCGTAATTGCCATCTTCCAGGGGACAGACGTCCATCTCGCCCCACTTGCGCAGTTGCCGGAGCCAGCAGGATTTCTCTTCCAGCTTGCAGTGGGGGTTTAACACCACACACACCCACAGCGCCCCTAAACAAAGCCAAGAAATCAAGAAGGTGCCACCACCATACCCACGGGGCAAAGCTCTTCTGCTGCCACGCTCGTCGTGACAGCCTGCAAGGTTTCTTCAGCATCCGTAAACTCATTTCAGCATAATGCATGGACCCAGGAGGGGGATTTAGACAGCTTTTAAATAAAAGTAAAACTCCTCCGTAATGAAGCTAAATTATAATCTCATGAGATGGGGGACAGTGGGGAGGAGGGAAGGAGAGAGCGGCTGTGTATGAGTTTGTGAGTGCTTCTGTCTGCCAGGACAAATCTAGTGTTTGAACTACACATCAAAGCATGCTTAAAAACACCCTGGCAAGCTGCAGAGTCTGTATCTCCAAAGACTAACCTGATTTTGATCCTACCCACGTTCCAAGTGCTTTAAAGCCCGCTCCGAATGCTATTTCATCTGCCATTGTTCTTCAGGCCATTTGCATTCTACTATTTAAAAAGCAGATTTGGTGTATTTTCTTCCTTTTTTTTTTTTCCCCTCCCTTTTTCTTTTTTAATCCCCAGTAGCTCCCAGCCTGCAGGGGACCCAGCAGAGGAACCTGGAGCTTGGCTCAATGTCTCACAGGCAAGAGCCCTCCAAGATGTGAGCCCTCCGGATCTCTCAAGCAAAGATGCCCATCAGTAGGATGCCCACACTGACACCCTCCAGGTCAGCCATGGGACCTCACAGGCCTGATGATTCTGTCTGCTGAGTGAGAGACAAAACCAGGCCCAAGGACATCTGTTGTCATTAAGACCCAGCTCGTCCTTTCAGAAGACAGGGCTGATGCTGGGGCTGCTAACACAGCCTTGCCGACTCTCCTGGGTCACCCACTGCTCTGGAAAGGGCTGCAGCAACCCAAATAAGTGCAAAACCGTGAATTTTCCTTTAGCTAACTGCATTTCTGCCCAAGTTTCTCTACAAGGATTCCAAGATACAGGATGTTCCCTCCCTGCAGGGTGGGACAGTTGTGGGCTGGCACAGCTGCAGTGCGTGGTGTCCCCAGGGATCCCCCCAGGCTGTGCAGCTCCCCTCCAGATCCTGCCACACACACGGGGACAGCTCAGCCTCCCACACAAACACCCTTCCCTGCCTCTGAAGACCTGGAGCACCTTCCTTCCTCCCTGCCCTGCCAGCTGCTCTCCCCACCTCTCCATTGCTCCCCAAGCCAAAGTTCCCATCCCAAAGTGACAGCCAGCAGCAGGACAACATCACCCAACATGGCTCCACTGTGTGGTAAGGGGACTGCTCCATGTGCCCAAACCTCCTCCCTCACTCGCTGTGTTTTGTACAGCAGCTCTCCAGCTGCACAGCCATGCTGTCGAGCCAAACAGCCCCGAGCGAGGCTGTGACTCCAACACAAGCATCCAGAGCAGCCGTCCCCTTTTCCAGGCAGCACGAGGCAAAATCAGGCTGAGCAGCGATGTCCTGACTCCAGCTCCACTCTGGTGTCCCCCTGCTCCTCTGGGTTACAGCTGAGCTTTCCCAGGGCGCATCTCCAGGGACCCACCCTCTGCAGGTTGGGATGTGGGGACATGTTTGGTTCAAATCATTAATAAGGTGTGAAGGCTGTGCATGTTGGGCTCCTCAGAGCAGCTTGGCTTGGCAGGAGAGACGTCACACCATCGCAACGCCAATTGTGGCAGCAGCATCACATCCAGGAATGGGCACAGAAAAACCAACTGCAGGCACTAAAGATCAGCAAATATTCAAAGCAGCCCTTGGACCGGTCCAGCTCCCCCCACGTCTCAGCTCTGTTGCTCCCAGGAAACCCCACCGGAACTCCACTCCTTTCTGATGAAGAGCGGGGAATAAGACTTTTTGAGCTGCAACATCAGCAATTAATGCATGTGCAAGAGAAGAGCCATCTCCTTTGGGGCTTTTGGGGCCCATACCTCCCAGAGCAGGTCTGTGTCACTCCCAGGCTGCTGCAGGCTCCACAGGGACTGGACAGACACGGTGTCTTGGAAAACAATCAGATCCCAGCTCCAGAAAATCAGTCTTCCTTAAGGCCCTGGCTACTGCCCTGCAGCTGAGCAGTGGGTGCCTGCCTGCTGCCACCCCAAGGGCATAAAACTCCCCACCTCCTCGGGCGGACAAGAGCCATATCCTGCACTCAGATCCTGGTGCTGGGCATCCCAGGGCTCCGACTGGGTTCAGGCATACCCTTCCCACCAGCTGTCCCACCTGCTGTCATTGCGCCTCTTCACCTGCTCCAGGGCTGCTTTCTGCACAAGCAAAATTTCAGTTCATTTGGCTCTGCAATTTCAGCTCGCGCCTCGGATACCACACAGAGTGGTTCGGCCAACAGGCGGTACCGAGGTTTGGTGCTCCGGCTCTGCCGCTCCAGGAATGGGATGAGCCTGCTGGATTTTTGGCTCCCACAGCTCAGCAAAGATGCAATCCTCAGAAGCCTCATGACTTCGCAGCCTATTTTTGGGAGTGCTCCGAGACATCCTTTGCCTGCCAAAATGCTGTGCCCCCGGGCTCTCCTGCAGAAAGGAGATGTGGTGGGGAGCTGGGGACAAGGAGGAAAGAAGGATTCACATCTGTCTTGGCCATGCTAGTTATCTGGCAGATGGAAAAAAAGGTTTTTCTGAGCCCTATGGTCAAGTGACATCAGCTGACAGCACAAGCGACTCCTGTCCTGAGCTGAAACGCCATGCCAGGTCAGACTGCGCGGCTGTTCACATGCTGCAGAAACCTTCATCTGAACTTTCCAATAGCAGGAGGCTAAGCGGGGAACAAAGCAGCAGATCATGATTAAGCTAAGCCTCTAAGCAAAAATGCTTTATGATGATGGGGCTGGGTGCAGGGACGAGGTGGGTCGGAGCCTTCCCACCCCAGCGGTCCCGGCTGCCGGCCCCAGAGAGCACAGGCACTCCGATCCCGCGCCCAAGTTTCCAAACCATCAAAAGAAATTCTCCCGTTTCCCACAGGGTCGCTCCCCGGCTTAATCTGCTGAAATTCCCCACTGTAAACAAGTGGCCGAGATAAATAAACCCGTCTCCAGGCAGATTAAGGTCAGGCTGCACTTCAGCTGGTTTTTAGTCTATTTTTTGTAATTAGGCTTTAATCATAAGTACTAATGCGCCAGGGCAAATACTCCCACGCCACAGAGCTCTCCATCCAGCAGGTTGTTCCTCTGGCTCCCCAGCAGACGGGGCAATAGATGTTCAGTTGGCAGCACATACACAAGCTAACGATGTCCTTTTATTTTAATTTTTTTTTTTTTTAAACTCTGAAATCCTGCAAAATCCTTTACATTTTCCCCAGCATAAATCCACAATCTTCTTTAAGGCTGATCTTCCAATCCCACACAAGTCTGTGATGCAGTCTTTGCTAAAATCAATGATTAATTATTAAATACATGCTTGAAATAATTTCCGCAAGGCCCATTTTTCTCTTCCATGTGGCAAGGGAACACGGTCTGTGCCAGGGCTTCCCATGGCAGCTGGTGCTGGGTCCCTCATCCCTCCCTTTGGCAGCAGCAGTACCACTGGGCAGCTTTGGCATCCACAGCCCCCAGACAGTCGGACAACGTGCCTTCACTGCGCCACGTGCCCCAGCTACCGTTGCCTGCCCAGTGACGGTCTGGGACATCTCTCCACGTTGCTGGTGTTTGTTACCGGTAACACCACCTCTGGTCCCTCCATGCCTGGACCCTTCCTTCAGAAGGATGCTCTGCTCCTACAGCAAATGCTGCCCAGGGCCAAATTCAAAAGGCTGCTGTAAAATGGGAGGAATAACCCCCGCACTGAGTATAGTCCATGCCCATCCTGCCCTGGATCTGCTTCTTGGACCATCACTGTGTTGTATCCTCTGCAGGGGCTTCTCTTCAGCACTGAGATCCCCAGATCCCTCCCGTGTGATGTGCCTATGCCAGGCGAGCTGCCCCCTCTGACGTCTGCTGGCTGGCACCATGCTTCCCCTGTTGTCACGCTGATCCAGCCTTGGTAGGACCCTGATGTTCTCCAGCCACCTTGCCATCTGCTGACAGCGACGGGCTGTCGCCTCCTCCCACTGTGCCAACCAAAACTACGTGCACCAATCTGGTCCGTGCACAGTTAAACCAGGACTGAAACCCAACCACTCCCCCCTTGCGTGTGCAGGAAGGGAGGGAGGGCTCTCAGCTTGGAAAGCAGGTTTGAAATCTGGCCAAATAATCTGTAATTCTGGGCAACCTGCTTCCTGTGTCCAGGCCTGCCTAGACGCTCATCCACCCACATCTCACTAATGTGTTTGCTTTCTTCCATGCGGAAATTCTGGCTTGGTGGATTTGGCCACCTCTCCAGGATCCTTGCATATCCAACCATCTAGCTGCAGCATCCCAAAATCCTGGAAATATCTTGCTGGCAAGCAAGCACAGATGAGCTCTCCAGAGCCAGTGTAGTTATTTCCATCCAGGGAACTTCACACAGAAACGAGACATCCCACCCCTGCCCGGCCCTTGTCTGCGCTGTTTGGCCAGGCTCTCCGGTCTGACGGCCATGTTTGCTTTTGTTGGGCACTTGGTATGAGGGTCTGTGACCCCAGTTGCAGTTTCAGGTGCTCCAGACCCTGGACCATCTTCAACCCAGCTCTACAACATCCCCTTGGTCCCAGCTTCTGAGCCTTGGCCTTTCAAAGCATCTCCCACCAGCAGGCTGCAGAGAAGCTCAAACTCACTCATGAAACTACGGCCCAAGTCGAACTATTCCCCCAAGATCTCAGGTGTCCAGGAGAGCCCAGGACTGCTGGATCAACTCCACCACACAACCAACCTCCCGGGGCCCACGTCATCTCAATGTTTTGTTCTAATGATATTATGGTGTCAGCCAGCTGAGCCAGTGTCTAAGGTGCTTAGCTAGAATTACCCAGAACTGCATTTCCCTTAAAGCCAGGCTCTGCGCCCCCTCACCCTGGAAACATGCACCAGAATAGGTAGAAATCTCAGATGGGCCAAGACTTGAGCCCATGTCCTCCCTCGCAAAGGCTTCAGGGCAGCACACTGAACACCAGGCTGCTGCAAGCATGGGACCAGCCACACTCTGCACACCCATCATCTGTGACTCCTTCGCAGGAGAGGGGCTGGTTTAAGGTGCTGAACTGTGGAGTTTGAGCCTGATTCAGCTGTGCCACCACGATCTCCCCAGCAGGGGACAGAGCAAGCTTCTGGCATCTCTCAAGGCCTCTTCCCCCAAAAAAAGAGCCCCAAAAACCTCTGGGATGATGTGTGCTGGCCCAGCAGCCCAGGCAGCCCTGCTGCTGCTCTCTGCAAGGCGCTGACCCTTACCCAGCTCACCCCAGAGCTGCCGGCACTTCTCTGTTATGCCTGTCCCCTGCTGCCTCCAGAGGGAGAGTCGAGGATCAGCCATGAACTGCTCCGTTATCAACGTCAGCATCCTGGCCCCATTGGAGTCCCTCATGCGCAGCATCTCCCGGACCTGGAAAGGACAGAGAGAAGGTCTTTAGTGAGACAAACTATGGTCCCTCAGAGGTGTTTAAGACATGGTCACCTGGCTGACAACCCACAGCTTCCATGGATCATAAACTCATAGAATGGTTTGGGTTGGAAGAGACCTTAAAGATCATCTAGTTCATGATCAGGTCACTCAAAGCCTCATCCAGCCTGGCCTTGAACACCTCCAGGGATGGGGCATCCACAGCTTCTCTGGGCAACCTGGGCCAGTGCCTCACCACTCTCACAGGAAGAAAATTCTTCCTAGTATCTAATCTCAATCTACCCTCTTTCAGTTTAAAACTGCTACGCCGTATCCTATCACTACGCACATGTATGTGTATAATGTATAGTCATACATTATAATACTCACGCAATGGCTTCACTGTAAGCTGTGAAGAGGACCAAACAATCAAAAACATGAAAACAAGGCCCTTCTGCAAAGAAAGAGAGGAGCCTGTGGGCTGGGCCGCCTCTCCACAGTCTCAGCAGGCTCTGCAGGGTTGGCTTTCCCTGCACTGTGCTAATGAAGAGATGCAGGAAAGCCCTCCCTTGTGCAGGGATCACGGCAAGGCCATTGCATGGGAGGAAGGGACCGGCCAGGAGAGCCAGTGAGACAACCCAGGCCTGACCCAGAGCCGGGATTACAACCTCCTGCTCCACGACCAGGCGAGAAGGCACTGGAGCAGAGATTCCCAGCTGTGACGGGCACCCTATCAGGGCAGCCAGCAAGCTGGCGGCTACGTGATACCGCTGAGCGGAGAGAGGAAAGAGCCGCTGACTCCTCACCTTGGCAAACATGGAGTTGAGCTGCTTCCCCGAGCCGTAGTACCCTCCCTGAGATAGGAACAGCTTCACCTGCTCTCGGACCTGCTCCTCGTCCAAGTGCCAGCAGTTCTCATCGTCGATGCTGGCCCCAGCAGTGGGGTCAGGAGCGCCTGGGGGGACGGGAAGGGAGGAGAAAAGAGACAACTGTGTTTACAGCAGCAGGGTCAGCAGTCCCACCAGCAAGAAGTGGACCTACCTCTATTTTTATACGCACCCATCTCTATTTTATCAGCTCAGGAGAGGGAAAACCGGCCAGGCTCCCAGGCAGTGAGCCCCAGCTGACAGCATCATGTTCTCCTTTCACGGTGGTGGCCATCATGAGGCATCCCGACCACAGGGATAATGCCTAGCCCCTCTCCTTCTGTTCTCCAGGTGAAGGGAGGCTGAGGAAGAGCAGGGACCTGCCTTCCTTCAAAGCCCCTGGGGCACTGTCAGGGCAGCTGCACTCCCCAGCTCCAGGGGTCACCCAGGGTGCTTTGCCTCCTGCTCCACAGCATCGGTTTGTTTAAGCATCAGTAAAGCTCCAATTCCTGCAAGCCCTTCCCCATGTCAGAAACAGTCTAACAGAGGCTGGGGGCTCCAGAGCCCCAGGTTAAATGCCCGGTCCTGCCCATCATTTGCTTTAGCAAAGGGGACAAGTCACCATGCATGAGTGTACCTGCCTGGGAGAGACCCCACTGGAAAGAGCAAAGGATCAATAACCCTTCAAAGAGCAAACTGTGACTGGAGCAGGACCTTTGGCAGGCACAAACATATGTTCACAGGCTGTATTTCGTCTTCCAGAAAACAACAAAAAAAGAAAAAACCCACAAGTGCTTTAAACAACAGCATGGATCCACTGCCCCTTGCCTTGTCCCTTTCAATTCCCTTTTCCCCCACGCAAAGGGCTGCCCTACCTCCCAGCAATGTCCCCAGATTCCCAGACTCGTGCAACAGGCAGCAGCATGGCTCCAGCGAGTAGCCAGGAGGACAAAAGGGAACAGAAACTCAGCTTTTTGGCTCCCTGCTTTTGAATCCTACTCTGCAGAAACTCCTCAGAGAAAATCAGTGCCAAGGAGGGACCAGCGCAGCCAGGAGATGCTCCACTCGACTCTGCTTCTCCCATCTAGTCTCCCTCTTGAGCAAGGAAGGAGGTCAGCGTGGGAAGAGTAAGGTGCTGCACGGACAGCCCAGGGATGCTGTAGCCAATATGTTCCCCATAAAATCTTAACAATGTCTTCCCCACTCGACTGGGATCTGGTTGGGGCACCAGACGTTGCTTTCACATGGATACAGCCTGGGATGCTGTGCAGACCCCAGCCCCACGCATTGCTGAACAAGGAGCTCAAATGCAATTAATTAAAAACAAGCTCCAGGATGCTTGTTCAGCAAGACAACTGTCTCTCCTTGGCTTGTAAGTGAGAGGATATCAACCCGAGGGGTTTTGCTCCTCCGGCAAAGGCTGAGAATGCTCCTGACCCGATAAGATACAGCTATTTGTATTTAATGTCCTTTACAAAATTCTTTTAATT